CCCTTTGTACGAACAAAAGTAAGAGAAATTTAGGATAAGAATACGAACATGTTCTTGCATGAGGCCAAATGTTTTCTGGTCTAAAGATTGATTCTGTATATATATTTTCAAGTTATTTAAAAGCTTATATCTATTTTAGGCCACAGACACAACAGACTTGTACTTCACTTCACCTTTCTCTCTGTTATTTTTCTTTCAAAAATCTTTTTTAACATATTTGAACACAAAAAAGGCTATTTTTTTGTGAATTTCAGAATGGTCTTGTTGGTGATGTCGAAAAAGCTGCCGTTGATCAAATTGAGAAACCTCAGTCCAGAGGTCTCTTCTCTGATGATGAAGACTCCCAGGTCAGGCTCACAAGCGTCAACAATAAAGTAAAAATGGATGACGTAATTTGATTTGACTATAAAGATATACATTTACTTGCCACAGTTATTTACTGCTACCCCCAAGAGCCAACCTAAGCCTGAACTGACAAGTCTGGGCAAAACCAGCAAGGCGTCCTTATCGTTATTTGATGAGGAGGAGGAGGAAGAGGTAACATTTGCTTTTTAAAAATCAAATGAGATTTGTTCTTGATAACGTTATATAACTGTTACCATGCGTTTCACCTTGCAGGATCTGTTTGCGTCTGCAGTTGATTCTAAAGGAAAGACCGCTCAGCCTAAATCTGCCACACCACAACCCAGCAAGGCTGCGGCCAGCTCGCTTTTCAGCGACGATGAGGTATGAAAATACAAAAATAAATAAATAAAAATTAAAAATGTTTTTGTGCTCACCAGTGCTGCTTTCGTGGATGTAATGCTTTGGTATGTGGAACAGCAGGACCAATGGATGAGTCCAAAAAGTAGTCCAACAAAGCCAGACAGCGAGACGGGCGGGATGAAAACCAGCACCAGTGCCCCATCTCGTCTGCCGAGCGCCAAAACCCCTCCGAGGAGCAGCCTGTTCGATGAAGAAGAGGAGGATGACCTGTTTGCCCCACCAAAAGAGTTTAGGTCTTTACAGCCTTAAATAACTATTTGTTCATACATTTTAAACTTTTAGCATAGGTTACAGTCTTCAATGCTTACCTGTTCTTTTATTTTGTCACTTTTGCGTGTAGTCAGAAGAAGCCCCAGAAGGTTGCTCTGCTGTTTGAAGATGAGGAGGATTTTGATGATGAAGGATCTCTTTTTGACACCAAACCTCCAGTTAAGGTGAGTTCCCCACACCATTTTTCTACGTATTTTATAACTCTGATTGGACCAAATGTTTTGGACGAATTTGTGAATTTTAGGAGAATTTATTGAATTTAAAACATTTAACCATGAATTTACAGACGTCGCTGTTTCGATACTTGTATTTTCAGACACCCGTTGGCCCCGCTGAGCCGTCCCCCCAGCCTGGGGAAGTTGCAGCGTCTGCGTCGGCAGCAAAGGAGGAGACACAGGTGCAGCAGAAACCTGCGGCAAAATCTCCCGAGCAGCTCCCCACTTTGCCGTCGCAGGAGAGCGCCGCGAGTAGAAAGAAGCCTGCTGGAGCCGTCAGCCTTTTCGGGGGCATCGATGTTCTGAACAGCAAGCAGACAAAGACGCCGCTGGACGGAACAGAACACGATGACGTCTTCCTCTCTAAGGAAAGCCCTCCACCATTAAGGAAGGAGGAAAAGAAGGAAGCAAAGGCCAAAACCAAAACCGTCAGTCTGTTTGATGACGACGAGGAGGAGGGATCAGACTGGAGTGATCCGATACCCGTTCCCAGTGAGCCCACGAAGACACAAAAGGTTCGTCTGCTGTGTAGCAGAACAAACAATGGGGTGAAAATGTAATTTGATAACATTATTCTGTTGCATTTAAAATGATTAATTCTCTTCCAGTCTGCAGAGGAGCGGCCGCAGACAAAAAGCACAGGTGTGTTCCAGGACGAAGAGTTGCTGTTCAGTCACACTCAGCAGAGGGACAATGACCCAGACGTCGACCTCTTTGCAACCTCAGGGAAAGCTGCTGTCAGTATAAAGCATACGACATAATTAATGTCTGCGTCTTCTTGTTTTGCAAATTACGTTTCACTTTGACAGAATGCATATGTCTTTTAGTGGTTCTTGAGAATGTGTTGTTTGTTTTCCAGAGTTCTGAGGTCAGCTCAGAGCGACCAGCAGCACCCAGTCTGTTTTCAGATGATGATGAAGATGACCTTTTCAGCTCCGTCAAGCCAAAACCTCCACCTCCGGTATCAATTCGTTTTAAAGGATTACAAAACATACATTTCTGTTTATGCTGTTTGGACCGTTACGGTGGTAAAAAAAAATAAAAATTAAAAAAAACCAACCAGTTTTTCACTTTGCTTTCCAGAAGATAGCAGAGAAACCCAACAAGCTGCATGACAGAGCACCACTGGCAAGCCCAGATCCAGTGTCTGACATTCAGGTGGGTCTGCTTGGTTTTATTCTTGTACATCAGGTTTTGTTTCTGCACCATAAACACACAAAACTCTGCAGCTATGTGATATCGATTTAAGCTTATATTTTGTTTTTATTGTATATTTATTATTATTAACATTTTTTTTACATATCGATGGAAATTAATTTGGTAGTTTGTTTGAAACAATAAATGCTTTCTTTGAATTTTGAAACTGTTGTAATCTGATCACACAGAAACCTGCACAAAGTCCTGTAAAACCTAAAGATTTCTCATCAAGGATTGGGAAACTTCAAGTAACTTTTTCTTTTCTTTTTTTTTTCTTTTTTTTCTGTAACTGAATCAGAAATCTTAAACACTGACACTTTTTCTCTGATTTCTTCTTAGAGAAATCTCGTATTGCCACTGAAATGTTTTGTCTCTCAGTCTTTTCATATTCCATATTTAAACTTTGGCAATAAAATAATTTCATTTCACTGTGCTGATCTGGGGAATAGAATGCTTGCTCCTTTTTGCTGTTTTATTATTTTTACTATAATAATTATTTTATTTATTTTTTATTTTTTTGTAGTTGCACTCTTTTTGCTTTTGCACCATTTTCACCCTTCATCCTGCGTTGTCCTTTCTCTGAATGTTGTTTGAAACAACGCTGAAATCTTTTACAGCTGCAAAGCTGATACAGTTCTGTAGTTGTAAGATTCAGCTGGTTCTCACTAGGGTGTCAAATTAAAAAAATACAACTCCAGATGAACAGCAAAGCATGAAGTCAGGGCTAAGCCCTCCATGGTGTTTTATAAAAATGTGAAAAAAACTTAAACACAAATTAAAAATACTGGTGCCAAACAGTCTGCAGGGATTCTTTCCAAAGGAATAACAGCCCCGTTCATTTCATGTCTTTCATGGTACAGAATGATTGACGGACATCTTGTCCCACCCCCTCTGTTTGCTGCTCATTACGGCTAACTTTGTTCAGCCCAGGGTCAGGCTTTAGCCAATAAACAAGGTGGATTATTTCATTGCTGACCCGTTTCCTTCATGTCTTTTGAGGAAAAACTGGAAGTCAGAGGTGGATGGACCAAAGAAAAAGCAAAGTTTTCTGTGACCTCGTTTTAGCAAAAAGCACTGGCTACAAGTGTAGCTAACAAATCTCTTTTCTGATTTCCATGTTTGCTCTTTGGAGGAGACATAGCTTAGATTTATATTACACATCTGTTAGTCCACCCTTCAAATATCCCCACCAGCCACCAATGAACATTCTCATTATTTATTTAACTAAAAATCAAGAGAGAATGCAGAACGGGAATGTGGAAAAACGTAGTAAATCCCTTCTACTTTACAGAAAGTAAGAACTTTAGTAGCAGCCAGGTGCTGTAATCAAATGCACCTGTTCAAACATCAGGAAGCACGAGCACCTCTATAAAAACTGAGTTTTGGGCAGTTTGCTTCTATGGTGCGCTCAAATGTGTTAACACAGTACTTAGAAGAAAATATATAAACTTGATTTTAGAGATCCAATTGTTACTTGAATCAAAATAATATATTAATGTTTATTCACCTGTGGAAAACAGTTAAAGGGCATGTGACATCAAATTTTTGTAATAAAAATGAATGTATTTTTGGAAGGATAACGCTGATAACATATTGTAAAAAAGATTTCACGCCGCTGAGATGAACAGTTGTTGAATTATTTGCATGTGAAGTAACAGGAAGTGATGTCAAAGGGGAATGTCTGAATGTGACCAGAGTGTTGCTAAAATGGCTAACAACACAGACTGTAGAGAAGAATCTGATGTTTCTTTAGATTATTTGAATCACTATCATAGAGAGATGAGAGAGTTGTAGTTCAAATAAAATTATTTAAATAAACAAAGTCCAGGGAGTTTTCTTTCTCAAAGAGTTCCCCTTTGATGTCACTTCCTGTTTCACTTTAACTTTGCCAAGATCAAAAGAAAATGTGCCAGTTATGTGACATAATGGGTAAAATCATGTGTACTATGCCAAGGTTCTTAAATATAAATATATTTCTTTGAATTTTTGTATTTCACGGATATGCATGTCACAGGCACTTTAAGACAATTTCCAATCTTCCCAAAGTTGGATGCCCAAGCAAGTAAAATTGTGTAAAATTTTGCAATTCTAAAAAATGATGCAGGGAATTTTTTTTTTGCTTCATCTGAGACCTCCAAATCTCAGTTAAGATATTAAATATTAAACTTTCTGACAGTTTATTTTGAAAAAGACTGAATGAGTATGGTCTGTTTTGAAGTGTTGCCCAAAGAAAGTCTCTTATCTCTTAAAAGGAAAAAAAATGCTAAGATGGCAGAGGGTTAGCAGAACTGAATCTGGTGGGTGGGGGGGAACCTCTTCTGAAGATGATCAATGAACAGATGAGACCAAAGTTGGCCATGATACAGAGCATCATGTTTAATAAAAACCACATAAATCAAAAAAACACAACGGCGATTATACTGAATACTGAATCATTATGGAATTTCATGTTTTTAAAAAGAGGGCAGACTTTGGATTAGTTTATGATGAATAAATAATGACTTGATATAATATTGAGTGAGGAAGGGTCATCTGAAGTTGTATTTACTTTATTTGAAGACCTGGTAATAACCAGATGAATTAAATATTGTGTTCTTGTGCTAAAATCTTTACAAATCACAGGATTACTATTTTCACCATGAATGTATTTTTCTACCTTGTTAAACTGATGTGTTGATGGTTCCTTTTTTCTTTTTATGTTCAGGCCAGTCTGATGATCAACCCTGCTGCTTTGCTCCCCGGTGCTGCTTCTAGTATGTCTGGAACTTATAGTTCCTCTTCTGGGGTCTCCAGCTCCAGTCTGAGTCCAAGTCCTGTTTCCACCCCCGTGGGGGCTCAGGTGGAGGCTGAAGTGGGCGTGAGCTTCGAGAGCCCAGTGCAGGTCACTACACTGCAGAGCGCACACAAGGTGGGTTGTAAAATTCCTCGTTGGATCGTTGCTTTTATTGCTGTTGTGACACGAGCACAAGATGTTAGCGTGAATCTTTTATGACGCAGACTCGAGTGAAAGGTTCTGTCTTTCGAAGACCCCAGTCCAGAGCGGCGAGGCAGCAAGCAGCTCAAAAATCCCTGGACGATAAAAAGGGGGGCCTTGCAGATGCTCTCGGGCAAGCTTCCAGTCTGTCTGCTTTGGAGTTTCCTCCACCAGACACCAGCCAAACACACATAGCTCCACCATCTATCTCAGCTGCACCTCCATCATTGCCAACCCCCTCATCTGTGCAGCCTTCATCCCCTCAGTTCTCTCCCAGACCCTCTGAGCTGACTCTGCCAGTAACGACGAATGCTGAAAAGAAAGGCTCTAGCAAGTACAGCAGCAGCGTTAGGGCACCGCTATCATCTGATGACGATGACCTCTTTGGCTCTGATGATCTTTTCGGGGCAAGTTCAATCACTAATATTCCCTCCAAGCCCTCCACTAGAGAAACTACCAAGACCAGTCAGCCTCATGCCAGTACTGGGGTGGGACTGAAGAAAGACAAAGATACAAGCACACTTCCTTCTATTTTTGATGATAACACTGACGACCTTTTCCAAACTGTTAAGCCACAAGCAGCTGCAAAGAAAGCCCCCAAAGTCTCATCCTTCTTGGAGGAAGATGATGATGACATTTTTGGTTTGAGCAATAGTTCAACATCAACGTCCAAAAGTAGCAAAGAAATCAAGAATGGCAGCAGTTTTTCAGATCAGGACATCTTTCAGGTATCTTTTACATTCTGATTATGACAAAACTCAAAGTTTTTGCCGTCAGGTTTTTTTTAAATTTCATTTCTTCTCTTTCGTGGCTAAATTCTGTTTACAGGATGAAGCAACCACTGTGCCTAAAGTTCAGAAAAAGCTCAAAGAGAAGTCCATCGATGCTAGCTTGTTCGATGATAACATAGACATTTTTGCTGACCTAACAGACACTTTAAAACCCAAACAAAAGTCCAAAACAAAGGGAGAAACCAAATCAATATTTGATGACGACATGGGTAAGTATCTGTGTATATTTTCCAAAAGTTGTGTTGTCTGACTTTATTGATCCTGTCACATCTAACTATTTCTTATACTCTTTCTGTTTTTTAAAGATGACATTTTTTCAACAAGCACAGTAAAACCAGCAGCAAAGGCTCCTGCTAAATTAAAGAAAGCAACACCATCCCAGAAGAGTGATACAGCAGCAGATTCCAGCAACTTATTTGATGACCCACTTAATGCTCTGGGTGGGAACTGATGTTTTGTACTGGTCAGATTTGTAAAAATTTGGATTAATTCTTTTGTCATTAGCAGATCATTTAAAGATATTGGATACACTGTTGATAGAGTATTTATTGTTAAAAATTCAAATCAGTACTGTGGCTTATTTTTGGCTGCTAAAGATTCAAATGATTGATTCCTGTCATCATCCACCAACGTGATCATATTGGCATCATTCATAATATAAATTTAGTCTTTATTATACATGACAGCACTTTATAAGCATACCTTATGCTTTGTCTCAAGGCCTGCAGAAATTAATAGTAATTTTTCTCTTTTTTTATTCCTTTTGCTTGTGAGATTTCATATTTTGTTAGTGCCATATTCCACTTTTTGTCCTAGTTATTTTAATTTTTTTTTAAGAAATTCATCCATGTCTTAACTTTGGCTGTAATAAAAGCAAAACCTCTTTTTTTGATAACTAAAAAGAAACCTATTTTACCTCCAGTGTGTCTGATTATTTCCAGAACTGTAATAAAATTTGTGTTTTGTTTGCCTTAACATGGTGTTCATAACGGATCATCATCAGACCATTATCAAAAACACAAATTAGTCTCTCTCTCTCTCTCTCTCTCTCTCTCTCTCTCTCTCTCTCTCTCTCTCTCT